ATTAACCTTTTTTTTTTTTTTACTTAAATAGATTCAATAAAAAGTCAGAACAACAAACGCGCACACACACACACACAAACACATCTTAAAATAAACTCTTTAGAGGCTAAGTGCGTGTTTCTTCTCCACAGTACGGTGCAGAGGGGGGAGGGCAGGAGGCGAGGGTCCCCTCCCCAGTGTCCCCGCGGGCTTGAGTACCGGGCGGCGGGGCCAGCTCCGCCGCGATCGCCCCCTCCTCCCCTCCCTGTTAAATACACAAATATATTATATTCAATATGAATCGAGTCTGTTTCCAGCAGAAAAAAAAAAAAATACAAAAGACATGGAAGTTGGGGCTTGTAAACGTCGAGGTGGGGGGACTGGGCGCAGAGCCGGCGGGCCGGAGTCCAGTGTGGTTTGCGGCGCCCCCAGGCCCCAGGGCGGGTGCCCACCGCCCGCTCCCTCCCCCCCAGTGGGAGGCGTGCGCCCAGCCGTCCAGGCTGGGGGGTGTCCGTAGGGTGGGGGGGGCGCTCAGAAGGCGTGTCCCTTGACCCCGAGCAGCAGCTGGCAGCCGTTGCTGACGTGGGTCATGACCTTCTGTTTGAGCTGGGCCACCTGCTCCCGGAGGATGCCGGCGGTATTCGACAGCCCGGCGTTCTCCGCCTTGAGTGTCTTCACCTTGTCCTCCAGGCGCGCGATGCGCTCCAGCTTCCGCTTCCGGCACTTGGTGGCCGCCAGCCGGTTCCGCAGCCGCTTGCGCTCCACTTTGATGCGCTCCTGGTCTTCCATGTTGATGGGGGACACGGGCGGCGTGGCGTCCCGGCTGCGCGCCTCCGGCACGGTCTGCGGTTCCTCCTTGGAGGCGGAGGCGCCGCGGCCCAAGCCCAGCTGCGCCGGGTGGCCGCCGGCGAAGGGCGGCGCGTGTGGGAGGTAGCTGATGGTGGCCGTCGGGTACGAGCTCCCGGTCCCGACGGCAGCCCCGGCGCCTCCGGAGGACGCAGAGGCTGGGGAGTAGCTGCTGAGGTTGGTGTAGACGGGAGGGGGCTCAGGGCCGGCGTAGACGCCCCCGGGGCCGGCCGGGGGCCCCCCGCTGGCGCCCAGGGACACGTTGGGGGGTGTCACGTGGTTCATCTTGTGCAGGTCGTCCAGGGCTTTGACAAAGCCGTCAGCGAAGCCCTCCTGCTCCTCGGTGACGCCGCCCCCTGCGCCCCCCGCACCCGCGCCGCTGCCACCCCCGCGAGGGTAAAAGTACTGTCCCGGGGGTGTGGGCGTCGTCGTGATCACGCCGTTGCTGTTAGGGACGATCAGGCGCTCCAGCTCCGATGAGGCGAGCTTGAGAGAAGCGCCGGTGTCCGAGCCTTGACCGGAAAAGTAGCTGCCGCCACCGCTGCCCTCCGGGCCGGGGCCTCGCGCCCCGGGCGCCTTGAGACTCCGGTAGGGGTCCGCCAGGTTCAGCGCCAGGCTCGGTTTCAGGAGTTTGTAGTCGTGTAGAGAGAGGCCACCAGGGGCCCGGCCGTATCCCGCAGCTGCGTATGAGTCGTCGTGGTAGAAGGGCTGTTCCATTTTAGTGCACATCCGGGCGGCCCAGGCGGTCCGGGGAGGGTCCCTGCGGGGCCGCCCCGGGCCTCGCGGCAGCAAGCGGCGCGCTCTCCGCGGCGGTGGCCGGACTGGAGGTCTGGTCGCGCGTTCTCGGGGGCTGGCACGGGCTGGAAGCAGCCGGCCGGCCGCTGTGCGCGAGAGCTGTGTCCGGCTTCCCGAGCCCCTCTCACCCCCTCTGGCGCGCTCGCCTTCTCGGCGTCGCTTCCCCCTGTTCCCCGCTCTCGGCTGGCTGCGATGCTGGCCTGGCCGCCCTCAAGGTCCCTGCCGCTCTGCCAGAGCCACACGCCTTTATACGGCGCTTGTCAGCTACGGAAGTGCGCTCCGATTGGCCCTCGCCGGAGCCGGGCCCCCGCGCCCCCCTTCTCCAGCGTGGGGAAGGGGAGGAGGCGGCTCGCGTCACTGTCAGGAAGCGCGTGTCCTTGTAAACAGCGGCCACGGGCCGGGTGGCTCGGCGGGGCTGCAGGGGGAGGGGCTCGAGAGACCTTGGGGACGCGTGGAAGAGAGGTGCTGGGGAGCCCGAGGCGCACGAGTGAGGGGCTTCGGGGAGGGTGATGATTACCCTGGTGTACACTGGGATGCATACCAGGATCCGGTACCGAGCAAGTGGGCAGGGGGTCCCTGGGCTACTTGGAAAGTCCCGAGGGACCCGGAGTCTGCCAGAGGGGTTGGTTGGAGGACTGACAGTACACTGGAAGACCCCCCAAAGCAGGAAATGGAGGGTTGAGCAGGTACATTGCGAGGGGTAAGGAGAGACACCTGACCCCAGATTTGACGGGGGTCCCAGGCACAGAGGGGTTGAGAGACTGGAATTTTCACAAGCGGGAGGAGGGGAGAGATCAAAAGGGGTTGGGAACGGGGCTCTGTTTATGCAAGAGATGAGTAGGGGTCCCAGAGTCCATGGGAGGGTCTAAAGGTCCCCCTATAAGTGGGAAGGAGAAGGAATCGAGGACTCTAGATATGTGGAAAGTAAGCGTTCTGGGGGCACACTGAGTCCAGTAAAATATGTGGCGTGCAAGATGGGAACGTGTCTGTCGGAGGCTGGGGATCACCGGGGTCACCTGCGAAGCCTAGATGGAGTTAGAAGGGTCGGAAGACACCTTCGAAGCAGACATGACAATGACAAAGGGGGCATTCAGTTGACAT